GGGGGTTTGGGGGGCGCAGAGACGGCGGCGATTCCATGGATTTACCTACGGAAAAGGCTCTTGATCTTATCCCACACAGAACTAACTTTATCCGCCAGACTGGGGGTGGGGGGCACCAAAACAGAAACACAGAGAGTCAGCGCGGCCCCCCCGGCCCGCGGGGACCCCCCCTCAGCTCGGGGGGCGACCCCCGACCCCCTCTGTGCTTTGGGGGACAGCCCCCTCCCCCCCTGAGCGCTCCCGCTGCAACCAACGGCCTGGGGGGGGCTTAGGGGCTTTTCTGGGGGGGTTTAATGATTTTTTGGGGGGGGGTTTTGAGGGTTTTTAAGGGGATTTTTTGAGGGTTCTTCACTGGTTTTTTGGGGGGTACTTCGAGGATTTTTTGAGGTTTTTTAAAGGATTTTTTGAGAGTTCTTTAAGGGTTTTTTGGGGGGTGTTTTAAGGGTTTTTGTGGAGTTTTTGAGGGTTTTTGGAGGGTCTGCTAAGGGATTTTGAGGATTTTTTAATGTGTTTTTGGAGGCATTTTGAGAATTTTTGAGGTTTTTTTGCAGGGATTGAAGATTTTTTTAAGGTTCTTGAGAGTTTTTTAAGGGTTTTTTTGAGGGGTATTTTGAGAGTTCTTTGAAACTTTTCTAAGGGTTTTTGGAGGGTTTTGAGGGTTTTTTGAAGGTTTTTGAAGGGTTTTGTGAAGGCTTTTGAGGGTTTTGTGAAGGTTTTTGAGGTTTTTTTGAAGGTTTTTGAAGGGTTTTCTGAAGGTTTTTGAGGGTTTTTTGAAGGTTTTTGAAGGGTTTTGTGAAGGTTTTTGAGGGTTTTGTCAAGGTTTTTAAGGGTTTTTTGAAGGTCTTTAAGGGTTTTGTGAAGGTTTTTGAGGAGTTTTTGAAGGTTTTTAAGGGTTTTGTGAAGGTTTTTGAAGGTTTTCTGAAGGTTTTTGAAGGGTTTTGAGAGTTTCTGAAGGTTTTTCTGAGGGTATTTTGGGGTTTTTGGTCACTCACGAGTCCCGGCGGCGCCGCTGGTGCTCGAAGACGAGGAGGCCACGGGCGTTGACGCTGCAGAGCAGCTCGCGGTGCCGCAGCAGGTCCAGGCGGAACGGCCGCTCTGTCACCAGCAGCCGGTGGCCCCCGGGGCCCAGGGACAGCTCCAGCGTGCCCTCGTCACGGCCTGTCACCTCCAGCCTGGGGACAGCGGGGTTTGAGGGGTGTCACCATCTCAGGGCACCCCAAAGTGCTGTGACTGCCACCCCGGGACAGCTCCAGTGCCCTCGTCACAGCCTGTCACCTCCAGCCTGGGGACAGCGGGGTTTGAGGGGTGTCACCATCCCAGGGCACCCCAAAGTGCTGTGACTGCCACCCCGGGACAGCTCCAGTGCCCTCGCCACAGCCTGGGGACAGTGGCCATCAGGGGGTGGCAGTGTCCCTATCCCTGTGTCTGCCGTCCCCCTGTCCCCTCACCTCTCAGCGGGTGGCAGTGTCCCCTGTCCCCTCACCTCTCAGCGGGTGGCAGTGTCCCCTGTCCCCTCACCTCTCAGCAGGTGGCAGTGTCCCCCTGTCCCCTCACCTCTCAGCAGGTGGCAGTGTCCCCTGTCCCCTGTCCCCTCACCTCTCAGCAGGTGGCTCTCCCAGCAGCACGTCGGGCACCTGGTAGCGGGGTCGCAGCGGGGCCAGCTCCTGGATGCGCAGGCGAGTCACGTTCCCGGTGAGCCCCCACACCTCCAGCAGCAGCGGCACCTGTGGGGGGACAGTGTCACCTGGGGCAGGGGACATGGGGACAGTGACACCTGGGAGCCCCCACACCTCCAAGCAGCAGCGGCACCTGTGGGGACACGGGGACAGTGACACCTGCACTGAGGACATAGGGACAGTGACAATAGGGCAGGGGACACAGGGACAGTGGCACCTGGAGCAGGGAACACGGGGACAGTGACACCTGCACTGGGGACATGGGGACAGTGACACCTGGGGCAGGGGACAGCGGCACCTGGGGGCCCCCACACCTCCAGCAGCAGTGTCACCTGCAGAGAGGGACCCCCGTGTCCCCTGCTGTCCCCTCACCTGGGGGGCCTCGTTGACCAGCTGGATCCTGTCCCCCTGTGACCTCGTGACCCCTGTGACCTCCCCAGTGTCCCCAGTGTCCCCTC